GGGGGGACAGCTCATGGTGGTGTCGATCTCTCCCCTCATCAACCTATCCTGCACATCACTACCCAATTGGCCTTCCTAAAGTGCCCTTCTGTCGCGTCACTTTGTAATCCCTAACGTTTCAAAAGAACGGGCTCCCCACTGCCAACTGGATGTCTATGTGCCACACTTAGGGACTGTAAAGAGCTGAATGGGAGCATGATTTGCAGGTAGGTGGGTCTGAGGGTCTAGGTCCAGTCTGGAGGGGTGCCGCCCGTGTTGTCCATGGCTCCTCACTTGGCTTCCGTGAAGAGCTGAAGGAGAAAGAGGTGTGAAGAACATGTAACTCTAGTATGAGACTGGGCACCACAGTACCCAGTCTCACTGTGCCATCACATTAAAACATAGTCTAGAAAACACAGGGCTCCTGGGTGGCTTGGCTGGTTAAGCGTCTGCCTTCAGCTCAGGTTATGATCCGAGGGTCCTGGGATCAAGTCCAGCTTCGGGCTCCCTGCCCCTGCTTCTCTCTCTGCCCCTCTCCCTCCTCTTTCTTGCTCACTATCTCACTCAAATAAATAAATAAAATCTTTAAAAAATATAGAAAATACAAATAGAACTGATTTCAATCTTTACTGGATCTCTTACAGGGCATTAAAGGAGCTCCACATTATGACCCTCCTTAAAATCCCATTGTCTCTCCTTCCATCCTCCTAGCCCTGTAGCGGCTCCATGGTCTCTCCCCATCCAAACACACTTCACAGTGTCCTGCCAACACCCTTTTCAATATCGGGCTTTTCTGTGTCTCTCTCCTTCCTCCACTCCTTCCTGCTGCCCCTTAATTTTGTAGAGCAACTTATTCGCCTTGGGTTTCTCACATTCTTTTCACTTCATGCATTATTTGGGTTCTCTAAAAACACAGGAGAGTCTGGAAGTTGACCCAGTAAGCCTATGGGTTCCAACACCAGCTCTTGGAAACCCTACCTTACTGCATCAAACTGTTTTTGCCCCTTCATCAAAATCAATTGAGCATACTCGTGTGGGTCTGTTTCTGGGTTCTCTGACCTGTCCTATTGATCTGGCTGGCTATCCCTCTGCCATTACTATTCAGTCTTGATTACAGTGACCACCTAAGCCTGAAATTTGATTCCTCCCATTTTATTCTTCTTTTTAAAAATTTTCTCAGCTATTTTCGTTTTTTGGTCTTTCCATATAGATTTTAGAATAATCTTGTCTACAAAAAAAATCTTGCTGTGATTTCGATAGGAATTGTGTTAAATCTGTAATCAGTTTGGAAGAATTGACAATTTTACTATGATGAGTCTTCCTATCCATGAATACAACATGTTTTTCCATTTATTATCTTTGATTGCTTTCATCCACATTGTATAGTTTCAGCATATAACTCTTATTATATTGACACTCTAAGGATCCCTTTTTGGGGGGAGCAATTCTAAGTGGTATTGTATTTCTAATTTTGGTGTCTATGTGTTCATTGTTAGTATATGGAAATATAATAGATTTTATATATTTATCTTGAAACCTGTGATCAGTTCTAGGAGTTTTTGTTTGTTTTATAGATTCCTTGAGGTTTTCTATGTAGAAAATCATGTTATCTGCACATAGAGGCAGTTTTTCTTTTCTTATCTGCCTGCTCTTTTACGTCCTTTTTCGTGCTTTATTGCATTGGCTACAACTCCCTGAGCTATGCTGAATAAGAGTGGTGAGCACAGATAACCTTGACAGTTCTCAGTCTTAACAGGGAAATAATTGAATCTTTCACCACTAAGTATGCTAGCTGAAAGTGTTTTGTAGTTGCTTTTAATCAATTTGAGGAAGTTACTGCTCTATTCTTATTTCATCAAATGCTTTCCTGTATCAATTTATATGATCATATAATTTTTCTTATTAATCTGTTAATAAGGTTGATTACATTGATTCATCTTCAAATATGGAACCAGCGTACATCTCTGGAGTGGACAGGATTTGGTCATGGTGCATAATTCCTTTTACATTTTGCTGAATTTCATTTACTAATATTTTGTTTAGGATTTTTACATCTATATTCATAAGGGATAATTGTGTCTTTGTCTGTTCTGGTAATTGGGTACTACCAGTGTCATAAAAGATTTAGGAAGTGTTCCCTCCTCTTCCATTTTTCTGGAAGGAATTGTGTAGAATTTGTCATTTCTTCTTTAAACATTTGGTGAAATTCTCCTGCAAACAGATCTGGGTCCAGAGACTTCTTTTTGGGGGATTTTTAAAAAGATCATGAATTCAGTTTTCTCAATTAATTACAGATTATGGGACTATTCAAATGATCTATTTCATTCACTTTTGTGTCCTCAATGCCTAGAACAGGGTCTGGCACCTACTGAATCATTAAGTGAATTATGGTAGCTTGTATTTTTAAAAGAGTTAGTCCATTTCATCTAAGTTGTCAAATTTATGTGTGTAGACTTGTAGTGTTCCTTACTATGCTTTTGATGTCTTCAGGGTCTGTAGTGATAGCCCTTGTTTCATTTCTGACATTGGTAACTTATGTTTTTTTCTCTTTTCTTCTTTGTAAGTTTTTCTAGAAATTTGTCAATTGTATTGATCTTTTTAAAGAACCAGCTCTGTCTTTCATTCATTTTCTCTATTTTTCTGTTTTCATTGTCATCCAATTTACTCTTATCTTTGTTATTTCCTTCATCTGCCTGGTTTGGGTTTATTTTACTCTTCTTTTTTGAGGTTCTAAGGTGGGAGCTTAGATTAGTGATTTGAGATTCTTCCTCTTTTCTAATGTCTGCACTTAGAGACATAAATTTCCCCTTCAGCATGGCTTTAGCTGTGTTCCACAAATTGTGATGTGTTCTATTTTCATTTTCATTCAGTTCAGTGTGATTTTAAGTTTCCCTTGAGGCTTCCACTTTGACCCCGTGGGTTATTAAAAGTGTGTTATTTAGTTTAGAGTGTTTGGAGATTTATCTGTTATCTTTCTGTTCCTAATTTCTATTGTGGTTGGAGAACACACTCAGCATGATTTCGATTATTTTAGATTTGAGGATTGTTCTATAGCCTAGGATATCATCTATCTTGGTATATGTTCTGTGGGCACTTGAGAATAATGTATCATTTTCATTTGTTGGGTGGAATGTTCTGTAAAAGTTGATGAGAACCTGATGGTTGATGGTGTTGGGTTCTTTTATATCCTTGCTTGTTTTCTGTCTAGTTGTGTATAAATTATTGAGAGAGGGGTATTTAAATCTCTAATTCAATTGTGGAGATAACTATCGCTCCTTTCGGTTCTAGCAGCTTTTGCTTCACGTATTTTGCATCATTGTTGCTTGATGAATTCACATTTAGGATTTCTAGGTCTTCTTGGTGGATTGCTTCTTTTATCATTATATAATGTCCCTTTCCATCTCTGGTAATTTTCTTTATGCTGAAGCCTACTTTAACTGATTATTGTTATAGCCACTCTAGCTTTCCTTTGATTAGTGTTTGCATGATATATCTTTTTCCTTTCTTTTGCTTCCAGCCTGCCTATGTCACATTTGAAGTGAATGTGTTGTGACAGCATTTAGTCGGGTGATGCTTTTTAGTTCACTCTGCTAATCGTTGTTCTTTAACTGATGTATATAGACCATTTACATTTAATTTAATTATTGATATGTCAAAGTTTAAGTTTGTACTTTTGTTTTTTGTTTTCTGTTTCTTTTCTCTGGTTTTTGTTTCTCTGTTCTCTTTTTATTGCCTTTCTGTGGGTTACTTGAACATTTTTTGGAAAGAAAAGTGAGCAGGCACTGGGGCTGAGGGACCCCCTACCCTGCCTGGCCCTGGACACAGGGGTTGTCAAACCAAACCCTGCAGAGCTTGACTCCCAGTGTGAGCTTATTGAGTAGTGATTTGCTTCTTTGTCCACTAGGTGAGCGGCGGACAGAATCCTGGGTCTTCTGAGGTTTCACGTCAGCTCTTAGTCCCAAAGAATGCCTCTGTGGTGGCGCTTCAAGCACTGAGCAAGCTGGACTGCAGGAGGTGATCCGGAGGACCTTCACGTCCTGTCAGTAAAGAGAAAACGCGGACTTCAGAAAGGAGGGACTTGACTCAAAGGCACAGTAGATGGGAGAATGCTTTTCCCTGAGTCTAGCAGAGGGACAGTTAAGGAAGGGTTGTCTTCTGGTTGAGGGGGCTTCAAATCCGGGGGGCCTTTGGCAAATGAAAGAAATTTAACTGTTTAGTTGATAAACATTGTGTTCCATTTGACCAGTGGGGACAGAACAGGACAAGCCAGGGGAAGGAAGTTGGGGCATCAGGGTGGTTTCTCAGGGATGGGAGAGGGATACTGACTCCAGTGGGAGAAAGGTGGGAAAAGGCAGCCGTCCTGGGACCTGGAGAGAAACGCCTGACCACCAGCATGTCCACCTTCCTCAGCCAGAGGCCTCTGGGGCTGCTACCAGAGAGGATAAAAATCACATGTGAAATTTAGTAGATACTCATCTATAAGACAAAGAATGGGAATTTGGAGGATCTGTGTCTGCCTGTCACAGGTTAACAAGGGGGCAGAGTTGAGTCCCGTCTAAGTCGTATGGGGAAGGATGGCAGTGAACCGCAATGGCCTTTTCTGGAACAAAAAGGGGTGAGGGTGGGGTTTCTTTAACCCTCGCGCTTCCCAGGATCACAGGTGTAGGAAACATTCAACAGGGTCAGTCCCATCCTAGAAATTGAGTTGAATCCTGCAGGAAGCCTGGATCAAACCCAGCGTTTGTCCAGGAGGACAATCAGGGCTCTCAGCGGGCGTGGGCCCCCCCTCCCTGTGAGTGGCTCCCGGCAGAAGGCCCCCTGAGCGCTGGTGGGCGGGGCCGGGGGCGGGGGGTTTCCCAGCCAGTAGCAGGGCTCCTAGGCCCACAGCGGCTGCGCCTAGCTCAGGGATTAGCTTCCCTCCTCCCACTCCCCCTACCCTCCCAACTCCTGGCCGCCCCATTCCCTGCCTGCCACACAGCTGTTTTGCCAACATTGCTGCCTGATTATCTTTCAAGTGGCTTCTTGGAGCAGATGTTCCGGCTCCTTCCTGCATCGAAAACAAACAGGCGCTCTGTTGTCATTTGCTCTCCTGGGAAAATCCCTCTGCTGGCGCAAATTCTTCTTGAGAGGTTCAGGGACTTCTGTGAAGTCTCTCCCGGCTGCTCCTTGCCAGGAATTTGCCTCCAGATGGATGACAGGGGCTCCTCAGGTCTTCCGAGGTGTGTGCCCCCTCCTGGGCGTGGGCTGGGGAAGTACACTTGTAACAGAATCAGATTCAGACCTGGGGGAAGCCGGGGGGGGGGGGGGGGGCTTACTCCTGTCACTGCCTTCCGGATCCTATTTAACCTTTTGAAAAACATAAACATCTCACCGACTTTGATTCTGAAAGATCCCCCAGCGGTTTGTCCCCCAGTTGAAAAACCTCTGTTTGTTTCCAGGAGCCTCACCAACAAGGAAATGTTGCTGGCTTGCTTTTTGAGGTTTGCGTTATGAAAGCAATAGGTTTTCAGTTTCTGTTTTATGAATATGAAAGTTGAATGTGTCTTTCAAAAGGTACCCATTTCATGACCTCACCTTATTGAGAATCAGGGCTCTGGGTCCACCAGGCAGCTGCTTGGCGAGTGGTCAGGATGACCTGTGACAGGCCAGGAAGTGGCTGCTTTTGCAACCTGCTATGTGTGCAGAAGAAATTGCAGCCTCCGCAACTCACTCCTGGACGTGAGGCCTGGGGCGCGGGGGGCCGTGGGGCCTCTAGCTCCTATACCAGTTGGTTGCAGCCTGTTAAGGGCTCTGGGAGGAGAGGGGAGAGACACCGGCTGGGACAAGCCAGGAGGAAGAAGCTGGGCCATCAGGGTGGTTTCTCAGGGCTGGGAGAGGGATACTGACTGCAGTGGGAGAAGTGTGGGAAAAGGCAGCCGTCCTGGGACCTGGAGAGAAAGGCCTGACCACCAGCATGTCCACCTTCCTCAGCCAGAGGCCTCTGGGGCTGCTACCAGAGAGAAGAAAATCACATGTGAAATTTGATCTGTCCCCAAACGTTCATCGATTTGGATAACAGATCTTGCTGTCGCCCACTCCGTTCCACTCCCCCACTTTGTCACCAAAGTGTCCTCCTCTGGCTAGCTCAGTACCCACCTCACTTCCACTCTGGCTGGGCCCAGCATTGCCCAGAGGCGTGAGCCTTGCCACACGTCTCAGGCCTATCTGGTGCTCATCCTGCTTAGCAGAGTTGGGCTCAGTTGACCATGTGGTCATGATACCCCCTCGTCTCTTGATCTCTGAGACCCCAGCCTCTCCTGATTTCTTCCTGTGTCTCTGGCTACTCCTTCTCTGTCACCTTTGCTGGCTTCTCCTTCTTGATGTGCAAATGTCCACGTTTCTCAGTGAGAGAGGGCTCTGCCCTCTGTTCTGTTGTAGACAAGGGTTTCACACACGTTAGACAGCATACAAGCACTCCGGGGTGATCGCTAAACATGCGGGCTCCGGAGCCCCGCCCCTAGAGATTTGTCTCAGGGCCAGGGGGCCCAGAAATTTGTATGTTCAACAAGCACCTGGAGGGATTCCAAGGCTAGTATCCACGGAACGTGCTTTGATGAAGTTCTGCATTGCACTACTGCATATATGATTTTATCTGATCCCAAGGCAGAGCACAATACTTATATGCTGACAAGTCCTCAATTGATATTTCCAGCTCAGACTCCTCAGAGATCCAGGCCTGTATGTCCAGATCTCCTTGGCATCTCTATTTGGACATGACCCAGGCATCTGAACCTCAGGATTCCCAAAAGTAAACTTGATTTTTCCTTCCCAGAACATCTCTCCCTAGCTTCATCTCAGGAAATAGAAGCCAAGCCCCCGGGGCTCCTTCAGATTCCCCTCTCTGCCTACTCCAGGTCCAAAACATCCACAAATCCGGCATCCGAGTTTACCTTCAGAGTATTTCTCCAGTTGGCTGTGTCTCTCCCACTCGGGTGCCCCTGTCCCTCTGTGCCAAGCCACCAGCGTCATGACCTAGGCGACCTCAGGAGATGCCTGCATGGTCCCCTTGCCCTAAGTCATTCCTTGACACCAGCCAAGGAGGAAGTATGAAACTCTCTTCAGAGGCTTCTTATTGTACTTAGGATGAAATCCAATCCCCCTGCCCCATGACATCAGCCCCTGCCTGTCTCTGCCTGTCTCTGCCCTGGCTGTCCTGTCGCCCTGGGCCTTATACCCTGAACTCTGCTCAGTTTCCAGAACAGGCCAAACACTTTCCTGCCTCTGGGCTTCTGTACATACTGTTCCCTCTGCCTAGAATGCTTTTCCCTGGTTGTTCAAGGGTCTCTGGTTCCTCCTCATTTTTAGGTCTCAGTTTTCCTGACCTCCTTATTATTAATATTATCACTTGCATCCTATTCTTCTTCATCATGGCCACCTGCCCATTCTTTCATGGTATTTCATGGAAGCTCGTAATTTGTAAATACGTATTTATTAATGCTTACTTAAATCTTTTTTTGTCCTTTTCACCGGACAGTATGTTCTGTGAGGGAAGGGACCATGTCTGCTTTTTTATTACCTAGCACAGATTAGTACTTGATAAATATGTGTTGACTGGATGGAATGAAATTTGTTTCATCTAGTTGTGTAACAGTAGAGCTGTAGCCCTGTTATTCTACTGCACTGTCTCCTGTTCAGACCCGTTTGAGTCTGTTCCATTCTGCTTTCGTCTGGTGAACCCTCTTCTACCCTATTCTAGTCTGTTCTACCTCGTTCCAATCTGTTCTGACCTCATCTGTTCCACCCTGGTCGATTCTGTTCCAGCCTGTCCTGGTCTAATTCAACTGTTCTGTCTCTGTCCTCTTTTATTCTGTTCCATGTTCTTCCAGTCTATTCTGCTTTTTCCCTTTCTACTTCTTTCTGTCCCTCCCGTACTATTCTTCTTGGTTCTATTCTATGGCGTTCTGTGCCAGCTCACTCCTCTTGCTCTATTCTGAGAGATTTATTCTCACAGTGCCCCCATTTCATCTCATCTTGCCTCAGGGCTTCCCCTAAGGTGTTAGAATACCTGCTTTGTGCTCAGTCCTTTGACAAGGACCTGTGAGACTATAGGAGAAGGAGATGCCATCCTGGGCATGAGAGAGCCCCTGTGAAGGGTGAGTAAGTGGTAGAGAAGAAAGCAAGAGGTGGTCGTGTGGATCTAAGCTGAGCCACGATGGAGAAGATTTGGTGGCGAAGAGAGGATGACAACATGAGAGAAAGCAGGTAACAGGCCTAAGTGTTGGTGACACACTGAGGACACCAGCCTGAGAAATTTAAGAGGGAGCCTCGGGTTAGCACAGGTGGAGGGTAGAGAGGAATGGGAGATAGAAGGTCAAAGGTAGATTAGTCTCCTACTGACCGGCTTGTTGCTCTGATGTTTTTAAACAAGGGTACTCCCCTGGTTTGAAGATGGCTATTGGGACACCATCTGGCCTCGAGACATCAGGAGAGGCAGTGTAGTCCAGTAGGTCTTTGGGTAAGTTGCTTGGCCCTTCTGAGCCTCAGTTTCCACATCTATAAAATGGGGAGAATAACACCTACTTTGGGTTTTGTGAGGAGAAACAGCTGAGCCTCCTATGCTGAGGGTTGGACAAGCATTCAACCCGGAGCCTGGCCCACCACAGGATCTCAGTAAATGTTCACTGTCTCATCGCGCCCCGTCTACTGAGTAATCCATTCTTATTTTACCAGGTTAGCTCTGAGCCTCAGTTTTCCCAACAGTGAAATGGAGACAGTGTGGAACCATCGCGAGGTGTTCGAGGGGCACTGTCTGAGTTAATGTTTTTGCTTTGAGCTTGAAGAGACCAAATGCACCATCAGTGTTTGTTGATCAAACGGTTGATTGTAGCTTCCTTACAACCACCATAATAACACTTAGCACAGGGCTGGGAATACCGGAGGTGCTTCATAAATACCCAGGGATTGAAGCAAAAGTGAAAGAATCTGAGAAAGTGGCAGGTGGGTTACCCCTTTCCAGTGCACACCAGGCAGGGGGATGCTGGGGCTGAGCCCATGAAATTTACACCAGACTTCCAAATATATTCAGAATCAGGGAATTAGGAGACAACGGAGGAGGCTGCCAAAAAGAATTTATCTCGGAAGTGGAGCTTGGGGAATAGCACTAATATTTTCGGAAATTGAAACTCCAACCATGAAATTGCCTATCATTTATCATACATGGTCTCTCAAAGGGGAAACGGAAAAGCATTTAGTCTTATTGCTTTTTAAACACATGATTGCTGAGCACAGCCATCCAAGCTGCGGTTTTAAGAGCTGATGTGTCTGACAGGGTCCTGCCAGGCCGTCCCTCCAACGTCATGTTAAGGCTGTGCTCTGAAGACTCTCCCGTGTCAAGCGCCCTGGGCTGCTCATGGTGAGGGTCCCACCCAGGCCTGGCCGGCGCCACTGGTGCCTTGCTAATTCTGGCACGTGTCAGAACCTCCAGATGTTCTCAGATCATCCCCAGTCCCTTCTTTGTGCCCAGCAGTCACATCACTGTTAAAGGCTTCAATACTTTTAGTTTCAAAATGCCCTTTCAAAGGGTCCACTGTGTTCTCCTTGTCCACCTTACCTGCGGCTGACCATCACATGTCTCTCTCCCCCAAACCGACTGCAGGGATTTGAGTCTCTGTGTGCAACTGGCTTCTGGGCCTCCTTGGGTGGAATGCCCACAGGCTCATCACATGCAGCATGCACCGTCTTCCCATGCCCCTGGCCAGCCTCCCAGCCTCCCCTGCTTGGCGGAGGGCATCCTGTGGCCTCGATAGCTGGGATTGGCTCTGGGGCCCAGACACACAATCACTCCACGTGCATCAGGTGCCGTTCTGCTGCCATGTGACTCATCACAGCTGATACCCTCACTAGGGGCAGGTCCTGACTAGCAGCCTTTGCGTGGGGAGGGGGGGCACTGTTTCTTTGTGCACTGCTTTCTTTCTTTTTTTTTTTCTTTAAAGATTTATTTATTTATTTGAGAGCGCGAGAATGAGAGTACATGAGAGGGGGGAGGGTTAGAGGGAGAAGCAGGCTCCTCGCCGAGCAGGGAGCCCGATGCGGGACTCGATCCCGGGACTCCAGGATCATGACCTGAGCTGAAGGCAGTCGCTTAACCAACTGAGCCACCCAGGCGCCCTGTGCACTGCTTTCTATATGAGATAGTGAAGAGGGAGGGAGAGGATGGGGTAGGCAGGGGCCAAGCCCTCTTCAGCCACCCTCCTGCTCCCAGTAACCTTGTGGGAAAGACAGGGACGGCGAAATTTTTGTCCCCATTTACAGATGATGGATCCTGAGGTTGCAAGAGCATGGGTAAGTCATCCAAGGCAACCACACCGGAAGTACTGACCCAGGGCTTCTGACGTCCAGCACCATGTTCCTGCTCCTGCACAGAGGAATGCCCCGGGACAGTGGCATATGGTGAGAGAAAGTCAGAGGACATGAGTTCTTGCTCCCCTCCTGTGCTGCCTGCTGCTCCGTACTTGGGTGGGCCCCGGGGAAATGGGGGTGATACTGCAGCAGCATTTCCTGGGACTCTATGTCCCCCCTGGTCATTGCACTCTGGCCCATGGCTTTGGATACCATCTCTGTGCTGCTGATGCTCAGACCCTCCCCCCACCCCCACCGTGAGCTTGGCAGCAGATTGCCAACTGCCTCCTGGCTGCCTCCTCCTGGAAGTCCTCCAGGTACCACCAAGTTGAACGTGCTTGCTTTTTGGGAATTCTGAGTTCCGTCTTGGAAATCTTCACATCTAGACCTCGTTAACTTCATTCCCACCCGAAAGGCTTTTTTGAGTGAGGTTTTATTAATTTCTCTCTCACGTTTCTTCAAGACTCACCGCCAGCAATGGTTATGTAATGAATATGTCTTTGTACGTCGTCAGTATTCCGCTTTGTCCTTTACGCTATTATCGCCTCTTGTAAGACTCTTTCACACAAATGTCTGCTCCAGTCCAGTCCTGGCTGGTGCTGGGGGTGGGTGGACTTGAAATCTCTTGCCATAGTAACTTTTTCCATTTATTAAACATCAAGCCTCAAAAGTTTCCCTTTATGTCTTGGTTACCAAGAAGCTCAGAACATTATGAAGTGTTCAACCCTAGTCATTTTATTAGCCCACACTGTAATATATGTTCTTCTTCTCTTTGTACATTTTTTTTATTGTGGTAAAATATACACAACATAAAACTTGCCATTTTAACCATTTTTAAGCGTACGGTTCAGTGGTGTTAAGTACATTCATATTGTGCAACCAGCAGCACCACCCGCCTCTAGAATTCTTTTCATCTTCCCCAACTGAAACTCTGTCCCCATGAAACACTAGCTCCCCATCCTGCCCACCCCTGGCCCCTGGCCACAGCCATTCTACTTTCTGTCTCGACGAACTTGACTAGTCTAGGCACCTCCTGTGAGTGAAACCAGACACTATTCGCTCTTTCGTGACCGACTTGTTTCACTTAGCATAATGTCTTCAAGGTTCTTCTATGTTGTAGCCTGTGTCAGGATTTCCTTCCTTTTTAAGGTTGAATGGTGTTCCCCTGGATGTGTATCCCACATTTTGTTTATCCATTCATTTGTCAATGGCTGCTTGGATGGCTCCCATGTTTTTTGGCTGTTGCGAACTCCACTGCTAGGGACGTGGGTGTATAATGACCTGTTCAAGTCCCACCTCCCAATGCTTTTGCGTCTATGTCTGCACGTGGATTTTAATTTCCTATTTTAACAGCTTTATTGGCTATATGCCTGTCAATATGAGAAGCAAATACACCTAACCGTTTTGACCAGCACTGTATGTCTGCCCTAGTTCTAGGTCCTTTACCTATGCTGTATCTTTTGATTTATTGTAATCTCTATTTTACAGTTGAGAAGTTGCTTCTTTTTGGAAAAAGGAGGTGTAACAATGATAACAAAGCTATTAACTAACTAACCGAGCTGCCTCTGCTTTCCTCAGCCCACAGCAATAGGAGTCCCCCCCCACACACACACACCGCCCCCCCCGCCCCGATTCGATGGAAATGCTTTGGCAAGGTCATCGGGGGTCTTCAGGCAGCCAAGCCAGTGGAAACCAAACCTGCAGCCGCAGCTGACCCCATGACCACCAGTCCTTCCTGAACCTTCTTCCTTGGTGTCCGGGATACCCTCTGCCCTAGGTTCCCCTGATTTCTTTCCTCGGTTGTCTCTTTGTGGGGTCCTTTCCCTCCACTGACCTTCAAAGGCGGGCAGTCTCCATGGCTCTGTCCTGGAGCTGCTGCTCCTCTCACCCTTTCTGGGTGATCCCTGATCTTCCTGCCATTGTGGTCACTGCCTCTCCTGGCAGATGGCTCCCCAGTCTCTATCTCTAGTCCCGGGCCACCCAACCCTGAGCATCGCCCTGGCATATCCAGCTGCCGGGCCGGTGCATCTCTCCCTGGAATGCTCCACAGTGAACTTAAATTCAACACGACCCACGTGAAGTTCATTACAGCCCGCCCCACCCACTGCCCCATGTACCCGGCTGCTTGAGCCACCAACCAATTAGCTAGATTTCAGTTTATCATCCTGCCTCGCCAGTCTTACCTCCTTGGTATTTCTAAGGCTGGCCTTTCTTTAGTCCTCTTTTTAAGATCAGGCCTCATCTTCCCTTGCCTGGAGTGTCCGAGCTGGCTGGGGACAGGTCCTCCCCTCTGGGCTTGCCCTACTCCGACTCATCTTCCCCGGCTGTCGGATGGGCTTAGCTCGCACACAGGGCTGGCCGTGCCACTGCTGTACTCACAGCCCCCCGGGGGATCCCCGGTAGTGACAGGATAAAGTCTGAGCTCTGAGGTTGGCATTTACACCTCCACAGCCCGGCCCTTGGCTCCCCTCCCGCCGGCCTTGCCACTGTGTGGCCCACACTTTCCTCGATCGAGTGTGCGCTGAGTGCCTACCCCGTGTCAGCAGCGAGGGGCCTGTGGTGACGGGGCTGAGAGCGGGGTGCCTGCCACTGGGGGGGTGGGGGAGAGACGGTCACCAATCCGGGGTCACTCAGTCTGGTCTGTTTCATGATGGGAAAGCATGTCGGATAAGGAGTGTTCCATACCGGGCACTGGACACGCTTGGCCCCTTAAGTCCTGACCGTGATCCTACGCTCCTTCCCTGTCTCTGCCATCTGGCGAGCTCAGGCCTCCCTGATTTCTCCCCTGGGGCCTCTCCCATGTCCTCCTAATTGGTCTCCTCTCCTGATCTCCAGCCCACCCCACCCAGTGCCACCAGAACATCCTTTCTGAAACACATCTGAAGACGGCTGCAGGAAATGGCCAACGTCTTTGATCGAGCTCGAGGCCCTTCACAGTGAGGGTCTTTTCTTTGCCCCCGAGCTGCCCTTCGCTCCTGCTCTCGGCCACTGGCCACGCCCCACTGCCCGTCGGTTCCCGGCCGGGGGCGCGGGAGCGGGGCTCTAGCGGTGGGCACAGAATGCCCAGTGAGAGATGGACACAGGAGCTGCAGGCCATTCTTTAGCATGTTCTGCAGTGAAGGGGAGCAGGAAAACCAGGATGGGCGCTAGGGAGAGGTGTGGCGATGAACGGAGCTTGTTGTTTATTATAGGGATCCTAGAGCACGCGCATCCTGCCCGGGGTGACCTAGTGGGCAGGGAGAAGATGGGGGTGCAGAAAGAGGAGACACCCGGGTCTCGGAGTAGGTGAGAGAGGTGGGATCCAGGCCCCACGTGGAACAGGGGGCCTTGGGCAGAGCAGTGGCCACCGTCCACTCCCTGGGAGGGAGGGAGCAGAGACGGGGTGCAGGTACGGGAGGGGTGCCGGTTCCCTGATGGGAGGATGAGGGAGTTCTCTCTGATTTCTACTATCTTCTGAGCAAAGCCTGAGGTCACTGCAGCGAAGGGTGTGTGGAGAGGAGAGGAGAAAGGACAAGGCATCTGTTTGGGAGAACAGGGTCGTGCCGGCCCAGGCAGCTGCGCGGCTGAAGTGCTCCTTTGAGATTTGAGGCCACGAATTTAGAGGAAAGTCATTTTGCTTTTTCTGCAGCTGCATCTTGCTGAAGGGTGCAGGTATCACATACGTGTGTGGTTGGATGGTGCCGAGCCGGGGCATGGCTTCTAAGTGTGAAGAAGGAAGGGAGGGGGATTGTGAAGGGTGGACATGAGGGCCCCAGATGGGTACTGATCCTGGGACAGCGGTGGTTGGTGGCCGGAGGGCTCGGTGAGGCAGAGGGAGTGTGATCCGGAAGGATAGCAGGGGGCAGGTGGTCCCAGGTGGGGGGCTTAAGGTGGATATTTTGTAGATGGTAAGGTCAGGGTGTGATGCCCAGGGCCGCCGGGTGGATCCGATGGCTGGAGTCAGCCAGGAGGAGGAACAGAGAGGCGCCCCCCTGTTGGATCGATCCTCAAAATGGACGTGAAGTCGCCCAGTGGGGGTGTGACCCAGGGGGGCAGTGGGTGACCCTGCCACAAGGATGGTGGTGAGAGGTAAAGTCACTTGGCATAGAATTCAGAGGAGCTGGGGCTTTCAGAGGGGGAGGGTGGATCAGAGGGCACCTGCCTCCCCTCCCAGCCCCAGGTGATGGGGGATATGGAAGAGACAACAGCCTCCCCTAGGGAGGGGGCGGGGAAGTGGTGTGTGTGTGGGGGGGGACAGCCAGGTATCGGTTAGGGCAAGAAGTTCAGAAAAGACACTGGGGAGATGGGGTGTTAGGGATGCTAGGCCCCGAGTCCCCGGAGCTGAGGAGGGGTGGCTGGATACCTCCGTCTCTGCGCGGGGCTCAGATCCTGCTCTATGAAGGAACGTACCAGCCCCACGCCTCTCTTGCTTCTGGTTCCTCAGCAGCAAAGTGGCGTCATGGTCACTTGCTAGTGAATGATAAGGATGCTTTGGGACGAGGGTGTGGGCCCAGCCCCGGGCCTGGTCAGGCGGCCCTCCGGTCGCGCCTCACCTGCCGCTGATGGGCGGGGGGTGCCCAGCCAGGCGAACCCACCAGGTGGCAGTGGGAGGTTGTTGGTCCTGCTGGCCTGGGGAGGCCCCGCCCTCCGCTCTGTCCAAGTTGTGCTGGTAAGAGATGCAATGCATTTTGAGGACGACTGAACACTGGCAGCACCGTGTCTTGGCAGGTGCTCGCGGCACAGGTGCGTGGGTCACTGTGAGGCGTGGGGAGGTGTGTGGGGATGCAGCGCTGTGCTGGCCTGGGGGCAGGAGCCGAGGGTGCTGGCCAGAGGTGGGGCAGGGCAGGTGGTTTCATCGGGCATTGGGAAGAATCCTCGAGGCACCAGCCTATGCGGGAGAGAATATTGGCATTCTTTAAACTAAATTAATTTGGACTCAGAGTCCCTAGGCTGTCTAAATGGGGAAATTCAACCTAGTGGCACTGGTTTCCATGGAGATGCCCATTGGCCTTGCCCTTGTAGATCCTTCAGAGCCAGCTTTACTGGAAGCTTTGCCTAGCATTGTGAGGCCCGGGGCCACCAGGAGTACCCTACACCACCTTTGCCTGTCCATTTTGCAGAGGAGTGGGTGGAGACCCCAGGGGCCTAAGGCTGGTTAGCCTGTGCAGAATGGCTTGTCTTCCCACGACTTCTTTCTTATCTGGGGCCAAATCCCTAGAGGACAGATCACGAGCCCACTTACAGTCAGGAAAGGTGGTTGGTGCTGTGGGTAGGGGAAGACAGTCCTGACACTGAGGAGGGACAAAGGACATTTTGGAGGAAGCAAGATCAGACCAGGACCTGGGAGGAGCGGGGGACACTGTCTCCCTGGGGACAGTGAGAAGGGAAGGGTGTTCCTTGGGGAGGCAGCAGCAAGGACAAAGACGTGGCAGTAGGATGAGCTAGCACGCTTCCAGATCACAGAAGCGTCTAGCCTGGCTGCTTGTGTTGTAGCTGGACTTAGGTGACTCCCTTCCTTGGACCCTAAGCTGGTTGACTGGAGGGAAGGGGGGTCCTCATCTGGCCCCCTCGGGTGTGCAGTTGGGCTCACTTAATCTCCTCATCAGCCCCAAGGGGCACATGGTATTGGCTCCGTTGTGCAAATGAGGAAAATGAGGATCAGCCAGAGGCCTTTGAATCCAGTCTTGTGCCTCCCTCTGCTCACTTGGCTATGGACAAAGCGGGGAACCATGTTGGGCACCCTTAACTAAGCACCATGAAGAGGGGAGAGGGTGCCCTGTCATCCCAAGGACAGCCCCCAGGAGACTGATGGTCATTTGTCCTGAGGGGCAGCGGGCAAGGCTACAAAGGCAGAAGCCCACTGGGACCCCAGCTCGCTGCCCGGACCTCCTTGGATGGATCCGTTTCCTTTCTGTCTTCCATTTGCCATCACTAGCAGGAAGGGTCTGGCTGGCCCCTCACCACGCCCCTTCACCCCCATAAGCCTGTGCTTCGTCTGTTGCCTCCAGTCTGTTTGAGGCTGACAACTTGGTTCACTTCTGCCCCTGTGACCCTCCCCAGCCAAGGATTCATGCTTCTTCAGCATAAACATTTCAGGATCTGGGAAGTATCTCAACCAAGTGGCTGAGCCATTGGTACCAGCCCCATCCTTTAACCAACTTTAGGGTCTGAATTCCCCACCTGAAAGCAGACATTCATCCAACATTCATCCAACCTGTGATGGGCCCACTAGGGCTCTGAGTAATGGGAGCTGTCGTTGACCGAGTGCCTCCTCCATGCAGACCCCCCCAGCAACTGCATTGTATGTACCCTTACACTCCCCCTGTCAGGATTGGAATTCTTTCTCCATTCAGCCCAGAGAGGTTAAGCAACTTGTCGAAGCTCTCACAGCTTGCAAGAGGTAGAGCTGGGATTAGAATCCAGAACCCTAAGACTCCAGTGCCTGGGCTCATGCTGTGTGACCCATCACTGAGACACCCATCCCTGGTTGGGCCCCAGGATCCAGGGACATCCCATATCTGCACCCCTGCCCCCCGGGGGGCACTGCTGACGGCATCTCCTCCACCAGGCTAGGGGCTCTATAGTCCTGACTCATAAACTATGAGGGACCACGGCCCGGCAAGGAGAGTCAGACCCACCGAGCAGTCTCTCCATGGTGTTTGCGGGTGGGGGCCTCCCTTCCTGGCTCAGGCAGGCAGGCGTGCACCGTGGCTGTCTCCAGGCGGCAGTAGGATGAATACCTGATGGTGATTAGCTAAATCATAACATCGCTCATGCCATGCATAAGTGATGAACCAACTGGTGCCAGGCCGTGCTGAGCGGCAGTGGGCACCCCCCCTCCCCCCAGCCTGGAGAAGCCACCACAGTGCTGCCTCCCTGTGTTATCTGGCACATCAAGTGCTGCGACAATGAATATAGATTGACCTTATTATAGCAGCCGGCTGCTGATGCCAGGCGCAGCCAGGCATACTTTGCACAAATTAAAGGTGTCAGCATGTAATTTACGGTTCATGGCAAAAAGGGGTGGGTGGGGGGAGGCACCGAGGCAGGTAGCAGGGAAGGTGGGCCGGCTTTGGGGCTTGCACCAGGAGCCCACGCACTAATGACAGGAGGTGCCGCCGATGTGTCATTTCATTCCGGTTTGCACGTTTTTAGCTATTCCCTGCTCAAGGGGAGCAACCCCCCCCCTCCTTAGCGCCACCCCGCCCCCCACAAGCTCTGTGTGTGTGTGCGTGTGTGTTTTTCAGCTAAATTACTGGTTTTACCTGAAGAGCGTAAAGGAGGTGTGCTAATTTACGGCTCAGCAGATAAAGCTGCAGTGTGGGGCGCTGTCTGGGAAGCCTGTAATACAACATCATTTGACTAACACACCCGAGAGCAGCTTGACATCTCGAGTTGGGCCTGTGATTAAAGGGGTCGTCTTCCTCCCCCCGTCCCTGCTCCGACACGGGGAACAGATTAAACTCGAAGCAATAGATCTCGGTTTTCTTGCCATCCCACTGATATTCACAGTACACAGTTTGACACAAAGAGTAAGTTATACATCACAAACAACAGCCTCTGCTCTTTACCGTCCAGAATTAATTTTCCATTTGCTAAGCTTCCTGCTTTTCCAAGCCCATTTTCCTGCCGCCGAGCAGGGCTCCTTTCTCGAAAAGGCAGGGGAGGAAAACCTCAGGTCAGGACTGGAAAGGGATGGCTAGCTTTGCCCCTGGGGTTTACAGATGAGGAGAGCAGGGCCCTAAGTGGGGAGCTGACTTCCGGCAATGGTCCTGTGTGCTGGTGGCGGCGATGGGGCTGAAAGCCGGTCTTCCATGGTGGTGTCAGGCGTGCCACCCCCCGCCCCGGCCCTGCCCAGCCCCGCTGGAGTGGGGAAGGTGGGCGGGGGTGTGGAGGAGCTGGGAGACTGCCGGGCTGCCTGAGTAGCTGGTTGTTCTCCGCTTGCCTCCTACCCACTCTACAACCTACAAAACTCTCTCTGCCCTTCTCTGCGCCCCAGGAAGGGACCATTAGGGGCTGCTGGGGCCTCTGGCTGCCGCCTGGGCTTGGCCAATGGAAGGTACCAGAATGAAAAGGGAAGGTGGGAGGAGAAAGATGGGTCTTCCCCCTCTGCCACCGCCGTGAGGCCGTGGCCCTGGGAATGGCCACCTCCCTCTGTGACTGCGCTCTGGGGCGGGGCAGCGGCCCCTGTTCCATAGCTCCAGCTCCCACTGGGCTCTGACAATGCCGTCTGCTCCTGCCTCTTTAGGTGTGAGGCTCCAGCACCGCCTGGCATCACAGAGCCTCGGGACCCCTTCGGATCCCCCTGCCCCCATCCGCCTCTGTCAGCAGCCCCTCCACTCCTGCCCCTCCCATTGAACCGTTTGTGGGGAATTCTGTTTCCTGCAGGACAGCACCTGGCGTCATTTGAAATGTTCGGAGAACTCTGAGCAACACCTAGTCTTTGTGGAGGACCCATCTTGCCCGAGTCCTCTGCCTCCAGGCACACACTGGGCGGCAAGTGTCCAAATCTCCCATGGCAACCCAGGAAGAGTCAGGGGCCCTCCGGGAACCTTCCGGCATTAACCCAGCTGTCCTGTTGCAGCCTCTGACCGCCCCCTTCCACCAAGCCCTGCAATAAGTGCTTGCACACTTCACCTTGGGGGAGTTCACAGGGGCCACGAGCTTGGGACTCGCTGGCTCCAGGGCTGAGCACCTTTCTCAATGCTGCGTGGGAGGTTCACCTCGCCGAATCCACACAGGACACACACGCAGACACAGGCACAAATGATGAAATGTCTTTTGGGAGCAATAAGAGGAGTGTGGGTGAAGAGGCAAGGCCAGGAGTGATGAGCACTGGAGGTGGCAGATGGGGTGAGTAAATCAGGGAGGGCGTCCGGGAGGAGGTAAATAAGTACCGAAGACAAACGGGAATCTGGATGGAAGCGTGCTGCTGGGAGCTTTCCTAGCACCCCTCTGTAGACAGGTTGTACCAGAACCACCGGGTTGGGCAGCGGTTAGGGAATACGGATTGCATATGGACTCCCAGCCTCACCTCTGACTTCCTGAACCAGAATCTCTAGGGCTGCAGTCTGAGAGAGTCTGTTTTCTTTTGAGGCAAATCTGATATGCAGCCCATCCTGGGAAGCACGGCCCCCCCTTTTTGCCTAGGGCAGCACACAAAGGAGGTGTAGCTAGGCTCAGGGCCCCACGGCACCTGATTCCACAGCTAGAGCTTGAACCCAGGCTCCCAGCACAGTGCCCAGCCCTCCACTCATCCAGGGGGCAGGGAGGGGGCATAGCCCCCCAGACCCTGGTCTCACAGCACTCCCGCCTCCCTCCCCTGGCCGCCCCGCAGCCCTCCTTCAAGATGGCAAGCAGGGGGTGGATGAAGGTGGTGGCAAAGCGAGAATGCTCCTGGAATAACATGACATTTAGAAATATGAATCAGCTGGCACTTTCTGTTTTCTCCTCTGCACCAATTCCCCCCGCCCCCACCCCCACCAGGCTCTGTCTCCAAGCTGCAGGAACAGCAGGAGGCCTGGACATCCAGGCAGGGAGTGGAGCCAGCAGGGGGCCACCCACTTGGAGGAGTCGATGGAGTCTGAGATGACGGTACAGACCCGCGCTCTGGGCCAAGCGCTGCCCCTTCACGCTGTGTGACTTTGGTCGAGGTGTGGCACCTCTCTGGGCCTCGGCACTGGGACGTTCACCGTCACTCCTGCCGTGTGAGGGATGACCCTGCGAGTCTCGCTCTATCCCCAACCCCCTCTTCTGCCCTGCTGTCCTGAAACGCCACAGCTAACGTTCCGTTCCTTCGGTCCCTGAATGACTGGAGCCCAGGATGGGGCAGAAGTGAGGGCGCTGGGAGAGGGAGGGTGCTAGAGGTGGGGCAGACAGGCCGGGGCAGAGAGTGAAAGGCCAATGGCTCAGAGAGGTGTCTCGGGTGCCAACCTCCCTGTCTTTCTGTCTGTCAGCTCAGGAGCCGTGATGCAGAGGCAGAGAGCACCCCGTGCCCCATCAGCTCCTGGCTCCGTGTCAACATGTGGGTTGGCAATAGTGAGCCAACGGCACCCTTGTGGTCTCCAAAATATGACGGTGGGTGGGCATTCCTCAGGTCTGGCTGGGACAGCCCCTCAGGCAAGGGAGCCCGGGCTTCTGCCTCACCCGCCCCAGCCCCTGCAGCAGCCCGCGGAGGGAGGCAGCTCTGTGTGCGTTTGCACACCCCCACCCCCAGGTCAGGCCTGACTCCCCACATGTCCCCGCAGGCTGACGCAGGGCTGCGCGCACAGCAGGTGCCCCAGGGACATCCACTGCACGGCGTCTATGTACGCCCACGGGGCCCTCTCAGTCCTGCAAGGCTTAAGGCTTGTTCTCAAGAGGGTCGCCCTTGGGCCAGGCTCCTTCCTGGCCCTCAGTGACCACATCTGTGAAATGGGGGTGGCGGTCAGGCTCACAGGCGGAGGAGCCCTTCCTGCTCTTGCCCTCCACAGGTCCCTTGCTTCAGGAGGAGAGCGGGCGGGAGTGTGGCGTTAGAACCCAAGACAGCTGTGCCTCATTTACCACCATGTATGTAGTCAGACAGGGCTGGCATGCATCAGGTGCTTGGTTAGTGTCTGCTGGGGGCGGGCGGGCAGGGTGGAAAGGAAGAAAGGGGGTGGGGAGAGAGGTAGGGTCAGGCTGGGGTGTGCAGCCCTATCAGCTGGCTCCTGCCCAACCCGCCTCCTGATGAAGGTCACCCTGGAAGAGATGATGGGAGGGACCCTGGAGGAAACTTCCTGCAAAGCAGAGCTCCATTCTAGAGACTAGGGAGTTCTGCTGCCATTCTCCACACCCCTTACTCTGAGGAGCCCTCCAGCCAGCAGCAGGGACTCGGAGCTGAGCACTCCGAGCCCTGAACCTTGGCAGACCACCCCACCCCACAGCCCCACTGAAGGTGTGTGAGTTGTAGACCCCTGTCTAGGAAGGATGGGGTTTAGCTGGCCTCTGAGTGAGGGTGGGGATGTGGGTGGCTTGTTGAGAAAAACGTACCCCGGAAGTGGGCAACGTAAGAACGGGGAGACTTTCTATGCCTAGGAGCCCAGGGCCCATTTGTGGTTCCTCACCTGGCTTTGTTACCTGCCACTAGCTCTTAACCATTGATCAGAAATAGACGTTTGCTCCCCTGTGTGTGACCTGGCAAGTGGTCAGAGCACCCTATCTTGCCTGGGGCTTGTCTCCACCAACATCCTGGCTGGCCGTGCCCCGAGCACAGGCAGGAAGTGCCCTGAGTCCCCTCTGTAGGTGACAGGGCTGCCCTGCCCTCAGCTAGCTGGGAGAGTTTATGTCTTGTGATTTTGTTTTCAAGGCAAATTTCTTCTTTGCTCTTGGTCCCTTTTTTTGTTTGTTTGTTTCTCTTGAAGGCCCTCGGGGAACAGGAAATGGCCCAGAAGCATTTCCTTTCCCACCCTGTACCCGAATGCTGTTCCCCAGAGCTGCAGGGTCTTTGATGGCATATGTTGGGTGGGGAGGCCATTGGGACAGGGTGGGCCCTAGCTTAGAACCAGAGCCTCAGGGGGCTCTAGACACGAGAGGAAACCTCGAAGAGCTACAAGCAGGCCATTTAACTCCTGAGGAAGCAGGAGTCCCAGGGAGGCCACTGGACTCACCTGGCGACTTAACATTCCCCATTTCGTAGAAGAGGAAACGAAGTCTGCCCAGGGTCGTGCCACAGCGGGGCAGAGCTCTGCCCGGAACGCCAATCTCTGGGCTCCTTGTTCTCTTCCAGGACACTCTGCTGGTACCTTCACGTGCATGATTATTTATAAAGTAGCTGTGATTAACCCTGCTCTACAGATGAAGAAGCTGAAGCTCAGAAGAGTGACATACTGGGCAAATAATTACACCTTCATCTCTACTGAGATCAGATGCCACAGGTCCAGTGGGGGCCCAGGGGTTGGCTCCTCCAGGAAGCCCGCCAGGAGTGTTGCATTCTCCAAAGTCTTAATGAACTTATTTTGAGGGACAAAAAAGAAAAGAAGGAAGGAAACATGCATGAGATGCTCACTCATTGGCAAGTACTGCACAGGTACTCATGGGGTCTGGACCACCCTGTGTAGGGCTCCTTGTACAGATGTGGATGTCAAGGTTCAGAAGGCTCAGGCCCAAACCCAGGGCTGGCTAAGTCCCAAGTACAATGCGCTTTTCTCACTTAGTCAACCCCATGGTTTATTATTCTAGAATTGATTCCTGGGTGCTTGTCTCTGCAACTCAGCTCTAAGCCCACCGACTCCAGAGATTCTGCAGACCCGCGGCCTGGCCCCGGGGGCAGTCAGCAAAGACTCAAGGCCTTGAGAAGGCAGAGGGGTCACGGGCCCTGGAGCAAGCAGGCGGGGTTCAAATTGCTCATCTGTCACTTAGCACCGTGACCGTGGGTTCTCAGTTTTCCACTCAGGGCTTTAGCATCTTCATCTCTAACGCAGTGGGGGTAATAACCCCGAGTCTCCGGCTCACCACGTGATGTGTTGGGGAGGAGATGAACTGTGAGTTTCAAGCACGCGGCATGGCCCAGAGCGGGTGCACAATACAGAAGAGCTAACTGCTCTCATCAGCTCCCAGTGTGCACTGGGTGCCCCCCACTCCTGGTTGTGACCTGGCCCTCCCGTCCTGGAGGGCACCTGCCTCCTCTGCTCCCCGTGCTCTAGCTCTGGGCACCCAGGGGCCTGTTCGTCTTTGTGTCACTAGCTGTGGGTGGCTAGTGTGACCCTGCCCTGCCTCCCGGCTCTTCACCCTGTGAACCAGGTGGGGCTCCTTGGTGCCTCCAGCCGCCCAGAGGGAGGCAGGGAACTCAGTGAAGGTGCTGGCCTCCCCCTGGCCTGCTGGGAGCTGTGGAGGAGCCCTGGAGATGGTCTCCTGGCTTCACAGCCAGGGGTGCGGTGGGCATTTGCCAAGGGGACCAGAGCACCGCCCTGCAGATTTGCTGTAGACTGAGGCTGGTGGCGTCTCAATCCCCAGGATGGTGGCAGCCAAGCCCCCAGGCAGGGTGGAAGAGGGGGCGGGGATAGGGAGACGAAGCCACTTAAGTCAGCCACCAGGAGGTGTGATGGGCAGAGCCTGTCTGCATGATCTGGGCTTCTGGCTAGTTCTCCCATCCTTGGTCTCAGGTGGCAGTGGCTCCCTTGGGTGCTCAAACCAAGCTGACCTCTCAAAGGGTAGTTTGGGCCCATCTGAGGCAGGAGTGCTGGGACCTGTAGGTTTTCTTCTTTGCACTCAGTCGTTACGTGGAGAGAGGTGCGGAGGGGTCAGAGATTCTTTCCTAAGCTGCTGCTTCCGTATCTCTCTATATACACCCCGCTGTGAAGCTCTGAGCCTGATCTTGATGAAGGACGTTCTTTTTTTTATCTGCGGGCGTCCATTTCCCGGGGGCGGGTGGTCCTATTTTATGATCTCCAGGGGGAATTATCCTCATTTGATTGTTTCTTGCTCCTTTCTGTCTCCCCCACTACTTTGGAAACCTCCCCACAGAGATTGCGGGGTTTTCATCTGTGCTGGGACCCCAGTGCCTAGCCCCAGAGGGGCTCGGTAAGTCTCCTCTACAGGAATGGGAGGCCCCGTCATCAGGCCGGGCTGGATAAGTGATGGCAGGAGCAGAGGAATATGAGGTTCATTTAGAAAGTTCTTCTGACCATCCAGGGGTGTTCATGACACTCAGCTCGTTAGATCGCCTGCATAAACTGCAGCAGGGCCAGGCCCACGCCCTGCACAAATGAAAGTTCCTGAGACCCGGAGAGAGGAAGCATCACAGGCCAGATGACACCACTGGCTGGAGGGACAGCAGCAGGAGTGTGTCTCCCTGGCTTGAAGTTGGATCAGGCTCCTGCAACAGTGCACAAAGGGGTCACATTTCCACCTGGAAATGGAGCCTCAGGCTCCTGAATCAAAACCGTAAGTCCTAATGGGGCAATAATAAGTAATAGTAATATATCTCTGTAACGAAGGCCAACAGATGAGGAGCTGAGGCCCAGGGTGGTGCCCTGGATGGCTGGAGGTCACACTGCAAATTAGAAGTGGTCTTTGGGGGGCGTCTGGGTGGTTCAGTAGGTTAAACATCTGCCTTCAGCTCAGGTCATGATCTCAGGATCCTGGGACAGAGCCCTGCATCGGGCTCCCTGCTCAGTGAGGAGTTCGCTTCTCCCTCTCCTTTTGTGCATGCTCTCTCTCTCTCTCTCTCTCAAATAAATAAATCTTTAAAAAAAACAAACAAACAAAAACAAGTGGTCTTTGGATTTCCTATCCATCAGTTTCTTGGCTTGCCATGTAGGGTGGGCAGGCCGGAGAAGTTAAGCTTGCCGGGTCTCAGATGAGGATCTCAGAAAGGGTCGTGAGGAGAGAGAGCCAGCCTGGCTGCCTGGAGTTTGTTCTTGGAGCCACTGGGCAGGGGTCAGTGCAGGGAGGAACCAAGAGCAGTGGCTCTAAACATTTCAACTTCGGCCTCACTATCCAGGAAAAAAAAATCAACTACCGATATATGCATATGTATTTTTTTATTCATTACGCAGGTTCAAATGTAATACTATGTTATGTATACAATGAAAATGCACAAGTACAGACGTTTTTAAATGAGATTTTAAAATGTAAAAAACCATCTTGTTATTTTTTTCCCATGGGCCAATTGCCTTGCCCAGCCCTGGAGGTCACGCACCCCCTTTTGGGGAACAGGGACTAAGAACATCGGCTTTGGAGCCCAACAGACCTCTCTGTGAATCCAGGCTTTTCTGGTCATTACCGATGTGGTTTTAGGCCAGCCTCTGGACCTAAAATGTTTCTTCTTCTGTAAAATGGGATAACAAATCCTACTTTGCAGTGTGGCTTAAAAGAGATAATGGGTCCAGGGCCCGGCAGGCGGCAAGAGCTCACCTACGGTAACTATGGTGATGATTATCATGATGAGGCTTGCCCTCTCTTGCTGAAATTAATGAAATTCAGCTCTACATACCACGGGCCCACAGGCTGGTTTTCTGTGCTGTCCGTGATCACAGGGATGGCAAGTCATGACCCAGCGTCAGTTGGGAGTACATGCCCCTTCGCCAAATCCCATGGCCCCAGAGTCCATATGGACAGACTTGGGACCTGGCTCAAGTACAGCCTGTTCAGCATCCCTGCCGGATGGGGCTGAGCCATGGGTCAGGTGTCAGCCTGCCCTGTGTTCCTTTTAAAATAATGGAAGTGTCAGTTTGAGTTCACGGGCTGGTCACGGTTTCGATCCCTCCCGAACTTCATAAGGCAAGTCCATGAATTATACAGTGCCGGAGCAGACGGCGCGAAGTACGGATGCATCACAAGCTGGGCTTAATAAGGACACTCCAGCTATTCTTGGAAGGCATTTGCAAGTCAAAAATATGGTGCATGGAGATCTGATGTCGACTTCAGATTCTGAAAATTTCAGCTGGGTCAGCAGTATTTTATGTTAAATCCCATGAACAAAAATTAAGACATGACAAGGGGGCACCGTACTTTGTTTTGTTTTTAATTTTAATTTTTTGATGATAGAACATACGGTCCGATGCGCCTGCTTTCTCCCACCCACCTCATCGGCCTACCCTCCAAGTAATGTCAACAGACATCTGTGTACTTCCATGGACTCATGGTACAGATGGAACATTCCCTTGTTGAGGAATTAAAAAGTATTCCTACCAGGGCGCCTGAGTGGCTCAGTTAGTTAAGCGTCTGCCTTCGGCTCATGTCATGATCTCAGGATCCTGGGATCGAGTCCCGCATCAGGCTCCCTGCTCGGCAGAAAGCCTGCTTCTCCCTCTGCCTCTGCCGCTCCCCCTGCTTGTGCTCTCTCACTCTCTCTCTGCCAAATAAATAAATAAAAAATCTTAAAAAAAAAAACTTGCTACTATAAAAAGAAAGAAAGGAAGTAAATATTCCTATCATTGGAGTTTTGTGCTAACCAGTGAGACGATTAAAGTTTTTCTATTTTCTTTCATATTTTTCGCCAAGATTTTATATGACTGATACCAGCTATTCTCCATCATATGTGTGTACCAGTTGTTAGAAACTCAGTCGAGAGGAGGAAAGAGAAGAGAAACAAGGATTTTACATTTACCGAAAAATGGGGACTGATATCGGTTTAAAAAAAAAAAACACACAGGGGCGCCTGGGTGGCTCAGTTGGTTAAGCGACTGCCTTCGGCTCAGGTCATGATCCTGGAGTCCTGGGATCGAGTCCCGTGTCGGGCTCCCTGCTCGGCAGGGAGTCTGCTTCTCCCTCTGACCCTCTTCCCTCTTGTGCTCTCTGTCTCTCATTCTCTCTCTCTCAAATAAATAAATAAAATCTTAAACACACACACACACACACACACACACACACAAACCGAAATTGCACTGGGGGAGGAGAACCAGAGTGAAAGTGGGAAGGCAGGTCTCTATCTAGGAGGGCAGCCTTTCATAAAAAGACAGATGCCGGGTCCCAGCAAATGCAGGGCTCCTGCCCGAACTTCCCTGATAGGTTCACACGTGGGTTTGTTTACAAACACAGTATTTACGGGGAAAGGCAAGCAGGCGTCAGTCAGGAGATGAGGGAGGATCAGAAGCGGGAACATTCAAGATGCCTCTGTGGGCCTCCTTTTCTGGCCATTGATGACAACAAAGGACCGTGGCTTTTCGAACTCCCTTCCTTGGAAACTGGAAAGTCAGTAGCATCTTCATGTACACAGGGCCCTGGTGTTTCTGGGAACCGTCCAGTGTAAACCCACTGGGGCAGTCAGGAGGGTATTTATGGCAGCAACAAAGTGCAGGAACATTCTGTGAGTCAGAAACCTCGGAGGCTGGCAAAAGTCCCAGTGCTCAGAGGTGTGCAGATCAGCACTTCTCAAACTGAAATATGCAGAAGAATCCCCTGGGGATCTTGTCAAAATAAAGATTCTGATTCTGGGAAGGACCTGAGATGTTGCATTTTTAAAAGGGGCCAGGTGATGCTGACGCTGCTGGTCCATAGACCACACTTTGGGTCAAGAGGATGGAGACCGGGTTCATTCTTCCAAGAAGTACATTCAGATATGTGTGTGTCAGCCGTGGGATCTGGCACTGTGATGGGGACATAGAAAGGCCAACACCTGGCTTGTGGCTTCATGTCTGCTTCCAGACCGGTACCCTAGATGGTTGGCCCATGTAGGATGCAGGGCCCGGGATGCTGGACAAGTCATCGGCAAAGGACAGAGCGCCGGGCCATGCAGGAGAAGAACTGGGTTCTCCTGGGACCAGCTGGCTCTACCACTCTGCTGTGTGACACTGGGCAGCCTGCCATAGCTTCCTTTTCCTCATCTGCGTGGGGTGAGGGGGCATCCCTACAGCATTCCATAAAATTGAGTAGGGTTGAGATTCCGGGGCTGGATGATGCCCCAGGCAATAGCAGCTGTGGAAAGAACCACATAACTATGGGTTCGAACCATGGTTCTCGTAAGAGTAATGCGTCCTTGGGCAATTTTGCTCATTTCCGTGAGCGTCGGTGATTAGGACACTGGCTAGGTGACCAATGAGCATGAGCCCAGGCAATCAGGAGAGAGAGATGTGGGCACTGCCCCACTGCCTTTTCTCTTTCCTCTTGTGGCCACAGAGCTGGCTTCCCCAAGATCAGACATGACAGCCTCAGCCCTGACTGAAACAGGCCTCCTGTCCTGTCTCCCAACCAAAGCCTTCCTGTGTGAGGTCCTGGCGGGTTGGTGTCAGAGTCCGCATTCACCCAGGATAAGTCTGTCCTCATCTGGCTGGTCTTCAAGGGGAAATTGGCCTGCGGTTGAATACAACATCTCATCTGGGCCAATCTGACAGATAGATCTACTTCTCCATTGTATGTCTCAGTGTTCCAAGGGAAAATGGAGTAAAGCACCTGCTCCCCTTAGGGATAATGTGAACCCAAGGAGGACACTGAGAACGCAGGCTTACTAAGCAACCATAATACTTGCCTCCCCCTGAGACTTCTTTCAAATACCTTCTTTCATGGAAATTCGTTCATCTCTCTAGCACCCATTTCTCCATCTAATAACAGCCCCAATTTTATTTAGGGTTCTACCCTCCCTCACTTTGGTGCACGGGTCTGGTTGAGACTCAGCCACGGCTCTTGGAGCGGATGTACAGAGCAAGCCTCAACCAACTGGATGTACAGAACAAGCCTCCTCTGGCCACGGTGATTAGTTCAGTGGGCTTGGCCATGTGACACCAGCTGGGCCAATCAGAACGAGTCTCTGGATATTTGCTGGACATGTGGTTCTCCATCCCCACTGTCATCCATTGCTGCATCCTTGCCCTGGTAAGGCACACTTGTCACCATCTGTTTCCCCTGGTGTCTACTGAGATTTGCCATCCAGTCTGGTCTTTGGACAGTTCTTCCCTTCTTTGTTGACATGGGCTGGGACACAACTGTGTCCTTATCTGATCCCACAGGACATCCTTTCCTATTGTTGTGGGTCCCCTGGGAGTCCCTGCCTCTCAGGTTAGCGCCGCTCTTCTCTACAGGCATGGAGACGCCCATCTGTTCTCTGCACCGGTCTGAGTCCACATGTCTGGGATCCTCCACCGGACAGTTGTCCTCCTCCAAAGTTTGCTCTCATCCAAAGGCTCCTCGTTTTTTATTCCTCGAACTTGTCAGAGACTCTGATTCTGTTATTTCCTCTCCCACTGAGATTTGAATGTCAAGAAGATTCAGGACTGTGGCTCCGTCTCCCAGCCTCGCACCTCAGCAGAGCCCTGCCCTGCTCTCCTCTCTGCCTCCCGCCCACCCCCACCCACCTTCCATATCCATAGGTAACCTCTGACCGTACGGCAGTCTGGCTTCGGTCTTTCCTTTTTCCATTCTACATTGTATGCCCCATTACCTTCAGAGCTTTGCTTCTGATGCTAAAAATTAGGTATTTAGAACTTAAAAGCAGTTCCTGCTAATCAAAAGCCTTAGCTTTCAAGAACTTGTCTCTGCTCTGAGTACCAAAAACCTGTTTTGAAATGAAGAGTTGACTGTTTCTCTTCACACCTCGCGTTCCTGATATAACAATCCTAATAACAAGCCTAAAGGCAAAGGCGTATTTAAAGAAATGTCCAGAGGTGTGGGAAGTACGATCATCCTGCTGTGGCATCAGGGATATTCTCAGCTCCCCGAGGCCTTCCAAAGTTCTTGCAGGGGGTCAGGAAGAACCAATTTTGGAGTCAGGGCCCCAGTTCTGCCACTTAATAGTTGCACAGGATAGAGAAGTCACTTCAGTTTTGTAAGTCTTATTTTCCACCTCTATAAGATGGCTATTTGTTACTGTACCACATTCTTGCCTCTCCTGTGTCTAATATACTGGATTGGGGCTGATTTAGAAAGTAACCTTGTGTAATGGGGATTCCCTGGGCTTCGACTTGTCTTCTTCTTCTTTTTTTTCTTTTTCTTTTTCTTTTTTTTTACTGGTTTGCACAGGGATCTCTGGGATGTCATGGCTGGAGAGAGAAAAACGTACATGGTATTGGACACTGGATTTGTCCAGATGGGTTCTCAGAGCTCAAGGAGTCAGGAGTCATGATGGGAAGGACCGCAGGAAATAGATTAAGGATCTCCAAGACCACTTGTCATTGCTGGGTAAGGTAAGTGCCAACTTTACAGAAAGATATAAGATGCTTATATTTATTTAATCACCACAAATGTCACTATTATCACAGATGACTTTGATTTTTAGGAGATAAGGAAAGAAATATGTTACATTTCTGTTTTGTGCATATGCTGATTGAATGAAAAGTTTATACCAGAGGCCAACTTAAAGACATATAAATATTTAATTGTTTGTATGTATATATACATTTCTGTATACACAGTATGTGTCACCCGGAGCACTGGTTCTCAACTAGGGGTCAGTTTTGCTTCCCAGGGGACATTTGGCAATATCTGGAAACATTTTTGGCTGTCCCGGCTGGGGGACGGAGAGTGCTCCTATCGTCAAGTGGGTAGAGGCCGGGGATGCTGCTCAATATCCAGTGAGACACGGACAGCCCAGTTATCTGGCCCAAATGTCGATAGCGTTGTGGTCGAGAGCTCCTGACGGAGACGTATGTCTGAAGGCAGGAGTCTGGGGCAGTGTGCGTGAAGGACGTGGAGCTCTACACCTTTCTTTAGTATATCACTGACACATCCGCTTGATTGATTTAACAGCCCCTTCCTGACCGACTTATCTAGAAAAAACACAAGTCACAGGCCAGGGAGAGACCGGACCTCATGGCCCTTATGAGACACAGCCTCTGCGTTCCTGAGGATGCCCATGGAGCCAGGCACAGCTGTCGGTTTCTCCCGTGATTTACACCTAACGTGGGTGTGGCACACCTGGGCTGGAGCTGCACCTGTGGAAAGGTAAAGGGGAAGGGACGAAGGGGAGCTGCAGAGGAGAGGCCAAGTCATTTCAGAGTTTTGTGAAGATCTGAGTATTACTAGCACATCATTTAAATCGTTGCCCCCAAAAGAACTGCTCAGGTATGGTTTGTCTATAGACGAAGACATCGAGATACATGGCTTTGTGGCTATACGTAAAATATTTATCTACATATATAAATTTGTACACACATGCAATGAGGCAAAACATTTACTACCCTAACAGCTGCCACCGAAATTCCCCGGGGAATAGGCATTGTCTTTGAGAAATGTCCTTGATGAGTCACTGAACTGGAGAGAGACGCTGAAGGCAAAGTTGTCAGCTGGACCCCCAAATAACAAAAATGGAAAAATTTTAACTTTTGCTTCTGAAGGGGCGGGGCAGGAAAACAAAACAGAAGACAAAAAGAAGAAGAGAGAGACAGAGTTGTAAATAAGATGGCGAGATGGGCACTTCTGGGGGTGGCAGAACCCGTGGAAATGTACGGCGTGGCGGGGAGGAGTCAGGGGGGCTCTTAAGGAGTCAGGGTGTGGCTCTGTATTACGTTGCCACTTTTCTAAATGAAAAGAAAAAAGATGAGTGTGGCTCTGGGATGTTTGTCATGCCGTGTGCTCAGAACCATAGAACCATATTAGGACATCTCTCCCAGCTGCTGCTTTGGGGGGCCGCATGTGCAGCCTGGGGAGACGGGGCCTTCCCAGAGGCAGCATCTCGAGCAGCAGGAAGCAGAGGGGCAGCAGCGGGGAGGCCTGCAGGCAGAGGCAGGCCCAGCACCCCAGGAACCAGGGGAAGTCTAGGGGAAACGCTGCACCCCCATAATGCAAGGATCCATGGTTTCAGCCACACTCATCTAGATTTTAATGTTGGCCGGGGAGCTCCAGCTGACAGCCGGGACACCACACATATTCCACCAAATGATGAGGCCAGGTGCCAACTTATTTCCAAATCCTGGTGCTGGAGATACTGGAAAAGCACTTAGGTAAAACAAAGGAGAAAATCTGAGGCAGACACAAATTCACTAGGAGATTCTAGACGCAGTTGCAGTAACGGGACTACTAGCAATTCAAGGAAGGCCGATTCCTGAGATCCATCACATGTTTGCACTTCCAGGCCCAAGACATTCCAGAGTCTGGGATGGGGGCGGAAGGAGGTGCGACTCAGTCACGCACTGCTCTGGGCTGTCTAATCCTCCCTGCAGGGGGTTGTCGGTGAGTCCCCACGGCCTCCCAGGGCAGCGTGAGCAGCTGGTGGAGACAGGGCACTGTCGGTGGTCCCTGCCCGGGTCAGCCCACGCTGAGCACCTCAAATCATCAGGGCAAGCTCCCCTAGCTTCTCTTCTCTCACCTCAGCAGGGCCTTTTAACTGGGGACTCAAGTTGGGCATTGTCGTCTGGCCCTCAGCGTCTACTGTCTCCTTCTTCTAGGGCATCTTTCTCAGCCCCAAAGTTTGGAAGGATAAACAAAACAAAACAAAACAAAACAGCCCACATTTCCCAGACTCCCTTGCAGCTAGAGTTCTGAGAGTGAGTTTGGTGCTGCCAATCGGATGCCACCAAGCTGAGCTTTGAAAGCAGAAGTGAGGCCAGCTTTCTGTCACGTTTAGCCCATGACTGTGGGTTAGCAAGGTTGGGACTTGTGGGCTCACCGGCTGCCGCGTCTCCGTGTCTAAGCGGCTGCCTTGTTGGAGCCAAGACAATCAGTAGCCATGGCTTTGCGACCCCAGCTTCTCATCTCCAGACTGAGAGCACAGAGTCCCTGATTCTCCACCTTCCTGGCTGGGCCAGAGGCAGCAGCTCCCTGTGGTCAGCTCTGTGGTGTCTGCAGACGTGCCTGGATGCCGGGGCAGGAACCCGCTGCCCCTCCAGGCCCTCCCTGGGCCTTGCTTTGTTTTTAATCTGGTATTCTATCCCTTTCTGTTTCAAATAGCTACGCTCGTTTCTGTTTCCTGCTGGCTGACACAGAACTTTACAAAGACACCACTGGACTGAGGTGTGACTTCAGAAAGCCACAAAGGAGGGAGAGGCTCCAGTCAGCACTTCTTCCTCAGCTTCTCACAGAAGAGGGGACTGTCCCTTCTGCTCTGGGCCCCAGGCTGGTGAACTCAGAGGGGGCATTCTCTCCCAGGTTGTGCAGGTGCAGGCTGGCCCTCAACGCAGAGCCCCCCCGCCTTAAGTTTGACACCCTAGGTGCCTCCGGTGCCTCATGCTCGTCCTGGGCCCACCACAGGTCTAACCTGGGGGCCTGGGTGACCTTGGTGCCGAGCTCGGAGACTTCTCAGCCTGCACACATGCTGTGGCTTGAAGAACAGAGTGTAAGGACCTCCTCGGAGGGCTCTCCAGTCTGCCCCGCACTGTGCACTGTGCCTGTGGGGCTACAGCTCCCCAAGGCTCGCCACACTCCCTCTGCCATGCCATCCTGGTCCTGGCCCGCTGGGTGATGGAGGACCTTTGGCCTCAAACTTAAAATGGGTCTCATTAGCCACTTCCATGGAGCCTCATCAGACGCCTTGGCGGAATGGCAGCTTGGGGCATTACTCCTCAAGCACTTCATGCCCAGTGCCCAGAAGCATGGTGTGCGAAACGGTGGAGGGGAGAGTTCTGTGCTACTCCAGCTGGTCAGATCCGCTGGGAGAGCTGCATTTCCATAGGGCAACCAAGGGGCCCGGGCCACTGAATGGGGAGTGGGTAGCAAAGGGCTGAGCAATACACCTGTGTCCGAAAGATGCTCAACCTGATCGGAAAACAGGGACGTGTAAACTAGAGCAGCAGGGCCCAAAGGTGCTTTTTGCACCTGTCAGATGGCCAGTCCCAGTACCTGGGACCAGAGCTGGGTATTTTCTCTCCTCTCAGCACTGGCCAAGCTGTTAGCTACAGGACCGTGGGAGGGCAATGCCAAGGGCAGAACCAGTGTGTTTTGGAGGGAAATGAAAGTGGGTTCTTCTCTCTCAGATTCATAACAGGTGTGGAGCTAGCGAGAGGCAGACGATGGAGTGGGTCCCCAGCGTCACGTTCCTAGCTCCTCTTCTCCCTCTAAGGCTCGAGGTGGGGGAGGGAGTGGGTGCCGAGGCTGGCCTTGCAGGGTGCGGGTTCAGGACCGGCTTAGCCCAGAGATATTGGCCTGAGAACCTGTTCACACAGACACACTGTTCCCTCGGCCCCGGCTCAGAGGAGATCCCACCCTGGGTGTCCGTGCAACCCTGGGAACTCCTGGAAATGCATCTGCAGTGGAGACAGGACGCCAGCCGCAAACAGCCTGCAGCCTCGGAGGACGCATGGCTCTTGCCCATTATTACCGGCCGGAAATGGGTGCTGGTGGGGGGCTTTATCTCAGTTCTGAAAGTCCGATGATGTACGCCCTGGCTCAGGTCCTCGATCCTTGAGCGCCGGTTCCCAAACTCCAAATCCCCGACAGCCAAAGATTTTTATAACTCACCTGGTGGCAAGTCCCAGGCTAAAGTGATGTGGGGTTAATTGATGGTCTTAATTACTTACTGTATTATTTCATTATTTACTTTAAATGTTTATATGTTTCCCTACAGAAATATTAGTGTGTTGGATTACGGGGTGTTCCTGAGAACACGCGGGTGTTACATAATCTACTCATATACACACCGTATACCTTTTCTGAAACCCTACATTCCTGAATGTTGAGCTATCTGGCCCTGAGATCAACTATAGTGGGCTCATATTATTTCCATTTTACGTACAAGGAAAACTCAGGTTCTGGGAAGAATCAGTCATCCTGCCTGATACCACAAAGCTCCTGAGTGACAGGCAGACGCGAACCCAGGGTCTTCTGACGGTCCATCCTGCACTCTCAGCCATCAGGAACAGGGCCTGTGCTTCTTAAATGCATGTGAATTCAGAGGTTAGAACAACTATGGTTTCTGTGAGCGCCTTTTAAAACCCTCTGTTCCGAGAACAAGGGCACAACACCGAGACCGCCCAACCACAAGTCCCTGATTGGATCTGGCATGCGAAGGTCTTTGTAGAGCCCTCTTAGTTATTTTTATAATAAACTTCAAAAAGCTTTCTGTGCTTTGGATATTTATTCTTTCTGGACATAGTGGTAAGCAGAGATTTATCCACAGAAAGCCAAGAGTTTAACGAAGGCTTTTGTACTGCAAATGTGTTCCTGTGACTAAAATAGAATAAACTCGTGGGTGTTTCTCCTTGTCCCCCTCCGTGTCATCCCTCCCTCACTCCGAACCCTTGCTTGTCCCATGCTCCTGCCAGCACCTTCCCTCTGATCCATTCATGTTCAGTAATTAACTTATTCAACAAACATTTATTGAGTCCCAGCGGCTGCCGACAGTGCGGTAGAAGAGGTTTTATGGTTTATTAGAACCACGCTGGGCTGCCAGACAAAAACTTGAGGTCCTGGTGCTGCAAGAGTTTGAGCAAGGCGTTTCCCTGCTCTGGACCTCAGTTTAACCATGGATGAAGTCAGGGAATAGGATGAGAGGATGCAAAAACCAACCACCCAACCCACCCGAACCATCAATCATGAGGTAGAGAAACCTCACACAAGTAGGATTAAACAATAAAGGACTATGGTCCTTGGCATAGTCTGACCAGGGCTCTTAGTTCAGCCCTCCTCTGGGTAGCCCTTTTAATCTTCAGGGTGGCTAGCCTCATGATCACAAAAGGGCTGCCAGCAGCAACTGGAGCCACATGTTTCACGACCAGGGAGAGGGAGGCAGAGCTGTGTAAGGGCGTTAAGCACAGCTACCAAACGGATTGCTTAGATCCAGTTTTGTTCTGATCAAGCTACGCTGGCTCTAGTGGGTCAGAGCCTGATCTAGAGGTTATTAAAGATTTTGAGCATGACCCCTGGAAAGAGTGCCACTTCTCATCGTCGTTAAGCAGAAGTCCGGGATTTCCAGCTGATAGGCTTAAGTCTGTTACCAGAACCAATCCCCAGGGCAGGGGCCTCAGCTGGTTTGGAGCAATCAGGCCCACCCCTGGAGCTGGGGTTGAGGTCAGTTCTGCTCATACGGCATGGTTCCTATTTGGGGGGCGGGAGGGACGAGGGTTTTGGGTTGCACACAGGGCTGCAACTAGAGTGTCCTCTAACAGCTCTGAGGTCCCTTCCTACTCAAATTTTCTTTGCTTCCGGTTTTCTACCCCGTGCACATGACATTGCAAAGGACCCCTCTCACTTGCCTATCTCCTCGCCATCCTCTCAGCTTAGCGCGGTCACACAGTTTGGGGGCCGCTACCACTGTTGGGGATTCTGCCGTCAGCTTCTGATCTTCTGAGAATGTTCCCCTGACTCTGAGACGAGAAGAGAAAGCCCAGATACGCAGCGGTGCTGGTTAGCGGTGTCAGCCTGGGCTGAGCAGGGAGAGAGTCGTGGAGGGTAAAAACATCTGGCTATCTGCAGGGCCTCCCCTCCGCCTGGCACTCAGATGGCGCTGAACACATGAGTGGTAATCAGCTTTTCAAGTAGAACAGCAAGAAGTGGCTTGTTTTAAAAAAACTCAGAAGGTGATGTGGAAAGTACTCTTCCCCGCCTCATACCTCTAATTCCTAGAGTGAACGATGTGTAGCCATCGTCCTTCTGTGTATTCTCCTGGTTATGTGCTACACATGTTCCAGAGGTATCAACAGCATTTACGTATGTGTGTGTGTATATCAAATGATATCCTTCATAATATATGGGGGGATTATACACAGGGATTATAGTAGAAATAAATGTTTGTTGAATGAAAAAACAAATACCTAAAACCAAATGGGGCATCTGATGGTGAGTGGCTCAAAGGGGGTGGAGGTTACCGTCCCCTACGCCATCCATGGTGGCCAGCCAGGAAACAGAGCCCATGGAAGTTACTGAACCTGGGATCCTACCATAGAGGATCCACGGAACCAGGTTTGAGGGACTGGAAAGGCAGAGTGCTCGTTGACGACCCACGAAGATAGTAACTGCAAAAAGGCGGCTGGTGCCCTGAGTTGGGGGGAACAAAGGAGGAGATAGGGCTTGCCAGAACCCAGAGCGTGGCAGAGAAGCTGCAGACTCGGAGGAGGGGACACTGGTGCTGCCTCTGAGGGGCATGCGCTGTGGCTGGTTCTCAGGGAATGACAGAAAGGAGGTGGGCAGGAATGACCTGGGGCTGCGGGGGCAATACTACCTGGAAGAGGAAGCCCATGGGATAGACCAAGTCCCCCCCGTCCCATGACAGTGACAGTGGCAGCGGGTCTGGCACGAAGCGGGCAGCGAAGGGGAGGTGCGGTTTGCAGAGTTCCTGCCCCAGCATCACCAAGTAGGAAGAGCAGGGTGGACCTGGAACTGAGAGACAAGTGTGTAATAACTGGGACGCCTTGCTTCCATTTACTTGTGGCCTCTATGCAAATGAGAGCAAAGCACCTGCTGTGGGCAGAAATGGCCCTGTGCCAGGGCACGTAGCTTGGGGAGCAGAATCAGAAGGTGGTGCCTCCAGGAAGAAGCAAACCATACCGGGGTGTCTGGCTGGGCAGAAAACTGCGGGCTGGAGTGCAGCCCCTCACTGCTTTCTCGACGGGGTGCACTTACTTGCACTTAGTACGACCTATACCGCCGTGTCTGGTGGTCTTGCATCTGTCCGGCTACAGCACAGGGCACCTTCTGTTACAGGGGAGCATCACACACGCACACACGTGTGCAGACAAGTACACGTTTTTTGCAAACGCAGTATGGGCGTGACTGCAGCTGTTACCCGTAGAGCCAGCCTGCCTGAGCAGGAAAGGGGGCTATCGGTGACTGTTCTCATATTCCCCACCCTCCGTGGGGGCTGGGGCTGAGCATGGCTTATCAGGAAGCCCCCACGAGCCCTGGTGTATCTTGTTTAGAGCCCCCTGGGTACCTGCCCTTTCTTAGCGTAGGATCCAGGGCCTGCTCACCTCCTTTCTGTCATCGCCTGAGAACCAGCCACTGCGCATGCCCCTCAGAGGCAGCACCAGCGTCCCCTCCTCCGCGTCTGCCGCTTCTCTGCCACGCTCTGGGTTCTGGCAACCCCTATCTCCTCCTTTGTTGCCCCCACTCAGGGCACCGGCCGCCTTGGTGCACCATATACAAATATGCTTCCACAGACAGAGGCATAGGAAATAGGAACATTGTCTCAGCAAATCTAGGCCAGGAAGCTGTTTCCAAGGGACAGGGTGTTGGTGGTGAACTGAGATGTGGGGGCTGGGGGTCTTCGGCCAATAGGCATGAGAGAAGTTTGAGAAGCAATTTCAGAATTCCTCATAAGAGAGTTTTCAAATTGGATGGGACCCAAGAAACGATCTAGTGATAATAATGATGATCATACTAGTTGTCTTAGATTAGGTTTTCTGGAACCAGGCTCCAAGAGGGTTGTGTGAGAAACTGGGGAGCAAGTGTGCACACATCAAGAGGTGAGGAGGCCGACCAGGCGGGGGGCTGGGCGGGGGGGGGGGAAGCATATCCACGGGGCAGCTGTGAACGTGGCCCCAGCCCGTCCTACAGGGGGCTCTGGAGTGGGATGGTCCTTCAGGATGGTCTCCAACCGAGGTAAGAAGGCTGGGCCTCGTGTCCACACCTCAGCCGGTCCCTGGCTGCCGACCCCCGTAAGAGGGCGGATCACTGTGGTCTAAGGCAGGTTCTGATGAGGGACGAGCTGTGGGCTTCCCATCAGCCAGAGGGTTGGTGTGTTGGCTCTGATGGGCAGAGCACAATGGTAGCCACCACAATAGTGAGGAGGTGGAAAAGGCTACCAGCTGTTGGTCCCCTACAGCGAGCTCGAAGCCTTGTCTAGAGACCTCCCTGAGTCGTCCCCACCCCGGTAAGTAAGTAGCACCGCCATCCAGCTCCACTGCTCAACGCAGGAGTCACTTTGGTCCTTCGCTTTCCCTCTTCTCCACACTCCTCCCCGCAGTAGGATGTAAAGGCTACATTTCCAACATTTCTCCCGAATCTGCCCACTTCTCTCCATCCCCATCTCTCTGGGCCAAGCCATCAAGCCTTCCTTGGTCAACTGGAAGAGCTTCCTCACAAGTCTTTCTGCCCCCCCCCCCCCCCCCCCTGCCCCCTCGGGGTGCCCTGACACCCATCTTCCCACCACAGCCAGAAGGACCTCCAAATATCACCCTCGGGTGTAAAGTGCTCTAACTGCTTCTTGTTGAACCTGAAGCCTGCACTCCCTATCACTTGATGCAGGGCCCTCGCAATCACTTTCTGCCCCCCCCCCCCCAACCTCTGTTTCTCCCTAGCCCACCATCTTCTAGCCACACCGGCTTTCTCTGGATTCCTTGCATGTAATAAGCTCAGTCTTGCCCCAGAGTAGCTGTACCCTCTGCCTGGAATCACCTTCCCCAGAACCTGCCATGGCCTGGTCTTGCATTCAAGCCTCAGCTCCAATGTCATCTCCTTAGTTAGGCCTTCCCTGACCGCCTTAGTTAAATTCTTAGTGGAGACATCCATCTGGCCTGGTTGAAAGGGCCAGGCACCCCATCTTGCAGCCTGGGGGCTCTTTGCAACTGATCAAAGCTCCCTTTGTACAACTTGACCTGGCGGTGGAATGTGTCCTTTGGAGACCAAGTTCTCATGTGGTCTTCAGGATCCCAGAGCTGTCTGGGACCTCGCTGGTCTGGTTATGGCAAAGCCAAACGCACCACGGGCCAGGAGGAACTCAGGAGCTCCTAGCTTGCCCCAGTTTCTCCAAGTGAGTCAGTTAGCAGGTGGCAAAGAGAAGCCTCTTCTCCCCAGAATTTTTAATTGCACCGGAAACTGTCCAGCCGTTTGGTCCAATGCGGAGGGGAAATTCGGTGACTCCGTCTACAGGCTTGGGGCAAGTAGGAACAGAGATGAGGTTGGAAACGTTCTTAACGTGTATTTCCTTCAGTTATTAAAGGGGAAAAACAAGCGCTTGCCACGTTTGAAGGAAACCATCATCCAATTTACAAGCAGTTGTGTGGTTCTGTGACTAAGCCATCGAGGACTTAGGCGAGGCGCTGGGGCCACCCGAGGGTTGTGCGGTCCCTTTGGTCATGGAGCTGACTTTTAGGGGAGGAGACAGGGCAAGGGAAGAGGGGCATGGGACAACACTCATCCAGACGGCTCGCTGTGTGGGGCTGCAGATGGGGTTCTCATACCTGCAGAGCTCCAACAGGCGGACGGCAGGCTCGGTGTGCCTGGG